TCACATCTAGATATTGAACTAGAACGTTAATATTAAAATGTTGCCAAATTGCAGGCAAGTTTAAAATATATATTTATCGTGAGAAGAGTATTAATTAATTTTTATGTATAACATCACATCTATTATTTGCAATAACCTAAACAGGAATTGATTTACATTTACTACTTATTTTTCTAGAAATACGTATAGTGCTGATCTGCCCATCTCTAGTTTTGCGTGACAAATCGTTTGACTGTTACTATGCCTCTTTCACTCATTTTCCGTAAAATTTTTTTATTTTACTTCCAAGAAATTTGAAGAAAGAGGAAGTTGTTCTTTATAAATTTAATATTATTAACAAACGCCAAATGATGAATTTCTGACTTCGATTTAATTTTTATTCGAACTTGAAATAACCGACAACAATAACAAACAATTTCGTGTGAACTGCCGCCTCGTTCCTACTTCCTAACAGTGACTAAGAACGCATTCTCTTATATTGACACCGATGACTCCAAAAGACGAACATTGTAGCGAATAATTTTCTCGTCAAAATTTTCTTTGAGACTAAAGGTTGTTAATTTTTAAAAAATTTGTCAGAGATTAATTATTGTTAATTCCTAATCAAGGACATGCTAATAACTTTATTGTCATGCGATGAAGCCGCGCAAATCCTTTGCCACCGTGTATTAATTAAAACCCGCATCCTCTTTAATAATCACGAACGGTGAATCTCAAAATGTTAGGCAAATCAAACAACAGCAACATGTATTAATATTAATATTAATATTAATATTAACATAGTAGCCTTAATTTTTTCATAATAACGTGACATTAAAAAATTTGTTACAGTAAAGAATTTTCTTTCAACATTTTTGATTTTTACTAATATTTAACAATTAGCACATTGAATAATATCAATAATCACAACATTATTATTAATATTTGGATGTCGAGGCAAAAACAATATAACACCATCTATAATAGTCGTGTAACATTTCCCTTTTCTATATGCAGTGTTGTCAGCGGACGCGGACATGGACACGGACTGTCCGGTCCGGGACTGTCCGTGTCCGTGTCCGTCACTTTAAATGTCCCGGAACAAGGGTATCGATTTTGTAATTAACTAATAAATTCAAGTTGTCAATGTATTGGAGGTTTCATATTTATAGTTGTAGAAAGTGTTTGCATCAGAGTTGTCAGGTATGTTGTTTTTGAGTGAGTAGAAGAATGATGGTGTTTTGGGGCTGTTGATTGGGATTGAGTTTGGCTTGTTATTAGATTATTTTTAGCACTATAAATACCACCCTAACATTGCGTTTGCATAATTTACTAATTGATCCATCCATCATGCATGGATTTATATAGTCATTGATTAATATATAATTTTTTTTTTTCAAATAAAGGAAACATAAAATAATCTTAACAGTTTATTAAGATCTAAATTTTTTTTAGTTTACAAACTATAAAATAAATAATTTATGATAATAATTTACAAATTACCATGCCAGTTCTTTGGAATTATTATTACAACTATTATCAATAATACTATTTTTATTAGCTTCACTTCCACAACTACCAATCTGTTCGTTATTAGCCACAGCTTCTCTAAATAATTTAATTCCGTATTTTTCATACATTTTTGTTACCCCACCAGCTGCAATCAATCTCTCTTCCATCAAAGATAATCTGAATTTAAATTCCTTCTCGCAACAAATAACTTTTCGATTCTTAACATCAATCGTTACTTCCTCCTCTTCTTGTGCCAATTCATAAAATTCATCATCGTCTACTGTAATACCTAAAAGTGCCATATTCGGCTTAAATTTATTAAATAATAAGAAATAATAATATTTATTATTTATGTGCTAGTTCAAATATTAAATAAAAATAAAATTATATGTATATATATATATGATATTTAATATTCATTCACCTGATTTCTACTATAAATATAAGCATAACTTTTTGCAATGACAGCTTTAATTCCTGCACCTTTTAAGGCTCTAGGAGCTTCTTCTCTGGAACTACCTGATCCAAATCCCGCACCAGCAACTACAATGTCTAAACCATCCTTAACTTTTTGTACAAAATCTGGTTTGACATATTGAAATGCATGGCTGCCCAAGTCTTCGTCACTTGTGCCTGGCATAAATTGTGCTGGTATAATTGCGTCAGTGTCAATATTATCTTCAAATCTTTGAACTTTACCTTTGATCATTGTTGGCAAAGTTTCTGCTTCTGCCGATGAATTAGCTGATGGACCTTCTGATGAACCTTCTGATAAATTGTTTGAACCTTGCAAAATAGGATTTGGTTCAGAAATAGTAATCGAACCTTTTTTATCTAACCATTCGTTAAGATATTCTTTATATTTTTTTACATCAACACTATTAAGTAGATCTGTTGGATCTTTAACTGACATTTCAAAGGATGATGCTGCCACTGTAGCAGCTGATGCTAAATTTCCAATAGCCCCTTTTCCCTATTATTAATAAATTCAACCATTAATTAAAACAAAAATATATTTAAATCAATCAATCGATCGACTAATCTCTCACATGTATAATACTCACCATTCTATTTCTGAAATTACGATTTTGACTACTAAGCCAAATCTCACCTTCTCCTGCATGATCTGCTGCAACTGCAATACAATATGAACATCCTGGTGCTCCAATTTCAAAACCAGCTTGTTCATAAATTTTTAATAATCCTAATCTTTTTAATTTTGCTACAATTGGCAAACTGCCTGGAGTGACTTTTCTTATCCCTGTTATGGTTGGTCTTAATCCTTTCTTTAATCCTTGTTCTAATACCATTGCTGCTAAAATTAAATCTTCTTCTGCTGTTGTACATGCTCCTATAAATACCCCATCAAGTTTTTTGCCTTCAACTTCTTTAGCCTTTACAACATTATCAGGTGATGGGTACAATGCAACTAAAGGTTCGATTTTTGATAAATCTATGATGTGAGTTTCTGCATATTGTGCATCAGGGTCTGCCTTAAAATATAATGCTGAATTTTTATGTGAAGGATTTTTTCGTTTTGCAATAAACGCTGCTGTGATTTCATCAGCTTCACAAACACCTGCTATACCTCCAAATTCTGTCGCCATATTAGAAATGGCAAATCTTCCATCACATGAAAGATATTGAAGCCCGGGTCCTGTATACTCAACAGCTCTTTCAAATGCCACCGTATTTCTTTTAAGTTCACCAAGTACATGTAAAATTGTATCTTTACCACCAATACCAAATCTAGGTTTGCCTATAAATTTTATTTCAACTGTTTCAGGCACTTTAAACCATGTCTCGCCTGTTATCATGGGCATAACCACATCAGCTGCACCTAATCCAACAGCAAATGCGCCTACCGAACCTGCTGAACAAGTATGTGAATCAGCACCGATAATCATTTGACCTGGTTGAGCTCTTTCACGATAAAATTCTGTGTGTAATATTGTATGATTTGGTTTGTAGAAATCAACCAATTTAGCTTCTTTAGCAAATTCCTCAGATGCTTTGATAAGTCCTTTAGGCTTGGGCAAATGATTTATGCGTGGGTCAACTGAATGATCAATAGCTAACCAAAACCTGTCATTACGATAAATACTTGGTCTACCCATAATATCATAAGTTTTTTCCATTCCTTTCCAAGTAAGCTCCGAAGCTAAAGTCCAATCAACAGAGACACAAATCATATCACCTGGTTTAACATCTCCAGGTGGTTGTAAACCAATAGCAGAATGCGTGATGATTTTTTCACAAATTGTCATTCCTCTACGTCCAGAAGGCCTTTCAAAAATCAAATTGCGCTTTGGATTTACATTTAAAATGCGATCTTCTGAATTTATTCCTTCTAAATATCCTTCAAGTACTTCAACTACTTTGTTACCAATTTCAACAGTGGTTTTATTACCACCTAAATCTTTCGTACGAAAACCAAATCCGCCAAAGTCTTCATCATCTAATACTTTACGTACTGCATCTTCTACAGCTTTTGCCTCACGTTCCAAATGTAAAGAGTAACGTAACATCATTGCAATACTAAGAATGGTTGCAATAGGGTTAACTATACCTTTACCAGCAATATCAGGAGCAGAGCCATGAATTGGTTCATATAAACCAAGACATTTACTTTTCCCGTCAGGTAACCCATTTAAGCTAGCAGAAGGCAACAATCCTAAACTACCGGGAATAACACTTGCTTCATCACTCAAAATATCACCAAATAAATTTTCCGTAAGAATAATTCCATTCAATATAGTTGGACTTTTAACTAAGAACATTGAAGCAGCATCAATATAATGATGCTTAAAAGGGACATTAGGAAATTCATTTTTTAATGTTTCAGTAACTACACGGCGCCAAAGTCTTGATGTAGCCAAAACATTTGCTTTATCAAGCGAGTGAATTGTTGCAGGAGGATTTTTTTCAAGGGCAAGATGAGCAGCCAAACGTGTTATTCTTTTAACTTCTTCAACAGAATAAGGAAGGATATCATAAGCTATAAAAAAATATGTAATGCATTAGAAAATAAATATAAAAATGATATTCAAATCTGTCTTGTTTCTTCTACTAATTTACAGATAATATATCTAATAACCATGGTATTAATAAACCTACCCTGACCATTCTCATCTTCTTCTTTTCTATCACCAAAATAAATGCCACCAACCAGTTCTCTAACTATAGTAAATTCTGTGCCCTTGACAATATTTTCTTTTAAAGGAGAATAAGCAACCAAGGAATCACTTGCAAACGAACATGGCCTTAAATTTGCAAACAAATCAAGTGACTTTCTAATATCCAATAAACCTTGTTCAGGTCTTGGGCCTAAACCACTAGAAGGATTATTTGGATCAATAGGTTTTGGCCATTGTGGTCCTCCAACTGCACCAAGAAGAATTGCATCAGAGTTTTTAGCAGCTTCAAGAGTTTCTGACGGAAGTGATGTGCCTAAATATTCATAATTTAATCAAATAAGTGACCTTTTCTTTTATGTAAGATATTTCAATTATCAAATACCTGTACTATCAATAGCACATCCGCCAATTTTTGCCTCAGTTAAGTTAAATTCCACGCCATTATGTTTTGAACGAGTTTTTGAAATTAAATTTAAAACCTTTACACCTTCAGCTACAACTTCTGGACCACAATTATCACCAGGAAGTATCAGAATTTTAGCTTTTCTATTCATTATTATATAAAATTTTATAGATTGTAACACACAAAAAAAATTGTTGGCATAATAATCGTGACTGATGGATGATGACGTTCAATGGAACCGCCGAGTGATTTGTTACATAAGAATTTTCTGTCACATTCCACCATAAAATTTTTCTAATTCATTCACTTGAAATAAATGGCTGATACACCAGCAAAACGATGGGAACCAAAAGTCAAAATTAATACTCATGAGGATCATACAAATTTTGAATATGGGTTAAATGTTCCTTTAGAATATTACGATCAAAATCTCTCTACAAATGTTACAACACATTATTCACCCACTGGTTATTACCCTCCGTCTCAACAAATTCATTTTCAATTCAGACCATTTGTAAATCCTCTACAACAACAACATCACTTATCAATACAATCTCAGCATCCACAGCAACAGTCGCAACAACAGTCACAACAACAAAAACTTCAATTACAATTACAACAACAGTTAAGACAACAACAAAAAATTATCCAACAACAACAGCTTCAACTTCAACAACAACAGCAGCAGCAGCAGCAGCAGCAGCAACAACAGCAACAGAAACAACTTTTACAAAAAAACACAAACCAAGCAGATCTTGCTTTAACATTCCGACTTCCATCATGGAGTACTTCTGTAGCTTCAGATGGATCTCAAGTTCGTCGCTTGAATGGAAATGGTGATATAACATCTGATGATGTTGTTACTGGAAGTATGGCTTTATATGATTCGAATAGTGATGATATCATACTCCCACAACGTGAAACCGGAAAATATATAACTAATGAGAATAAGGACTTTCGGCGAGCTGAATTGAAGTTGGACATTCATGGACTTCAGAAACCTATTATGTCTCCACCACCAGGGTTAGAAGGATATCGTAGTCCTACTTCACCAAGAAATGGTAGCATACTTACATCACCACCGCCCAATACAGATCACATTGAACAGTATTTTAATCCCACATTGGTAGGTCTCGCTTCTCCTACTTTAACTGGAGCAAATCAACCCATTTTACTTGGAAACGTTAGAGATGACTTATCAGGAAATGGTACAAACAATCAATCAATTGCAGATTTAACACATTCTTTGACTAATATTAATTTGACAAACTCTAATGGCAGTGTTGTTTCTGAAATAAATAATGTTACATCAACTGACCTTTCAGCAACTCAAAAACAACCAACAAAATTAAGTTGGGCGGCGATTGCAAAAACTGCACCGAAACCTTCCCCAATTAACACTTCTCCAGAGGTGCTTGGAACAGTACCAGGGGCTTATAGTGCAGCAATTTCACCTTCTTCTGCAGTTTCACCTACATCAGCAACAGCTGCAACATATGCAACCAGACCAGTGTCTGCACCTACTGGTGCTTGGGTTGGTAAGGCTAAGATTGTAGGTACGCCTACAAGTAATGGAATAAATAATCTTTTTGGTACGCCTAATTCAAATCTTACCACACCTACTGGAGTTGGACAAATGTCTATTCCAACAACACCAATTGTATCAAAGAAAGATATGACATCATGGATTGCAGCTAAAGGTTATAATCCCAAGAATTTCAACTGTAAACCCACACATGTAAGCATCAAATTAATACTTTCCACGTACTTGCCTTATATACAGGAAAATTCAAATGACTCGTTAACTTTTTTATCCGTTTCATTGGTTTCAGGCAAGGTATTTTGTTATCAAGTCTTACACTGAAGATGATGTTCACAAATCTTTAAAGGTAAATAAATATAGATGATATTATTTTAAAATTACTTTTAATACTATTGATCTAATCCTTAAAGAAATTAAATATTTATTCTAAAATATTAAATATTAATTAATCTTGTTATATATATATATATAGTATGACATTTGGGCCAGTACTGAAATTGGTAATCGTCGTTTGGATAAAGCATTCCGTGAAAGTGCAGATAAAGGACCGATATATTTATTTTTTAGTGTTAATGCTAGGTGAGAGTATTTATTTAATTTAATAATAGCAAATCATTTCTTTAGTATTATTGTATTAAAAATAACGTTTAAACAATATATATGTGTGCGTGTATTATTCGAATCATTATTTAGTGGACATTTCTGTGGAATGGCACAAATGCTTACACCTGTTGATTATACTACTAGTAGCAGTGTTTGGGCCCAAGATAAATGGAAAGGCGTTTTTAATGTAAAATGGATTTTTGTAAAAGACATTCCTAACGGACAATTAAGGCATATTAGAGTGGTGTTAGTATTTAAAGTTTTAAAATAGGCTATTAAAGGCATATAATTCATTAATTCAAAAATTTTATTTTATTAAAATAAAAACATAAATATAGGAATAATGAGAATAAACCTGTTACAAATAGTCGCGATACTCAAGAGCTTTATACTGAGCCAGGTCGTGAAATGCTTAAAATCTTTTATGAGTATCGGAGCAAGACTTCTATACTGGATGATTTTGAGTTTTATGATAAACGACAAGTTGAAATGCGAAAAGATGGTATTGCACCGTTAATAGGACCTACAAGTCCTGGAATAGTAAACACAAATCCATATGCCAACACAATAACATTATCAGGGGGTAACGCAAATACAAACATTTCTAATTTAGGTGGTAGTAATGGTATTGGTAGTAATGGGAGTCAGAATGATGAATCTGATAATTAGAAACAAAAGAAATAATAATAATGATTTTTCTTTAATTAGACTATTGATATTATCATATAAGATGGACTATTTTCTTTATTTTTTAATAAGTTTGAGGACGTTTTTTTATTATATCTAATTCTTGTTAAATAGTAACAACGATTATCCCATTTATACACTTTTTTTTTTGTATATCTTTAAAAGACTTTTTCGCAAATTTTTTTAAACAAAATTTTTTTATTTATATATATATATATTATCATAATTAACAAAAAAAAAAATAATGAATATTTTTATTTTAAAAATTTTTAAACAATAATTTTGGAGAAAATAATTATTTCTTAGATATTTAAAAATAATTGTGGATTTTATACTTTTTTTATTTCTATATATATATATATATTGGATATTAGGGATTTTCTTTCATATAATATATTTTTTTTTATTTTATATTTAAAAGATGATGATTTAGAAATCGTTTTCTTTATTCCTTCACAAATTTAGTAAATATTATTTTTATATATATTATACATAATTTATATTTTTTACTTAAACATGATTATTTATGATAGATGTATTTTTTTAAAAAAAAGTGGATTCAATATAATATATATATATATATATTTATATATATACACACACATATACATTATATTTTTGATTAAATTGTAATTTATTAAAGATTTAAATTAAAATCAAATATTAATATTAATATTAACATTTAATATCTATCAATTATTCTGTTTTTTCGTTAACTCAGCACTGCATTTTTCAAATCTTAAAAGAAGTTGAATTACAATATTTACTCAACAAACTTGAAATTGAAAGTTAAATTTTTGTATTCTTTTTAAATTTATTATATGAAAGATATCATTTACAAGTATTTAGCAAGTGGAAAAACATATATAATGAATGACCAATTATTTTGTAAAATCTCCTTGAAGATGTTCAGAAAGTTCTTGATGTATTACAAAAAGTTTGTTAAGTTTCAAATAGCTATATGATTACTAATTTAAACAAGACAAAGTGAGTGCATGAAATAAACAGCCAGAAAACTAAAAAAAAAATTTCAAATCTCACCATATTCATTCATCACGAATGAAGTCATGAGGAACCAGTTCTGGTGTCATGACTGAAAGGAGTTCATTTGCAAGGTTGTACCTTGTGTGATTAGCATTGCGGCAAAAAGGAGGAAGGGGCTGAAGGTCAGCAGCTAGAACAATTGATGCTCCAGATAGAGCAATGTTTGCAGCTGCATTGGTATCCCTTCCTCGTGTTGTATATTTTATCCTTCTTGTTGGACATCGGGGATGGACACATTCTACTGCGCCATGGAGGTGAACAGTCTGCTCTTTTCCATTAATGATCCTGCGAGCTCGATGGAGAATAAGCTTAGAAAAACAATACAGGCAAATCTTCGAAGTATTGAACTCATTTACAATTGCTACATTTCCGTAGCTCCTGTGTTGAGCTTTAATTTTTTTCATTCCTCGTTTAGAATACCCTTTTATAGGACTGTTAATTCCTTGCCAATGTCCAATACGGTGGATTAGGGTAGGTTTTGGTGAATTGGGAGGAAGCTGAATATGGGCACGAATGTGTTTCCATTCCTGTGCTGTTATTTTGCCATAAGCTCTTTTAGTCTGAATCTCTCACTCCTGGTTTTCCCTTGCTTGTTTCTTCCGTTGGGTCTCCCTATCTATGCCATGCTTTTGTTGTTGTTGTTGTTTTTTTTGGTGCTTCTTCAAAAAAGTAACTTCATTAATGAGACCAGAAGTGATTTTAAAGGGTTTTGGAAGAAATTCAATATCAAACTTATAGGGAGTAAGTTCAGAGTTATCCTCAAGAGAAGTGAGGATATTGAAGTGGTTTATATCAGCAAAGATGGTCTCAAGAGGCCTTGGTGAGGTAATAGATGTCATGATGATACCAGGGTCTGTCCCCGAAAAAACAACTTTCTGCTGTGAAGAAAGATGCCCCATGATTGCTGGAAGTAAATCCATCTATTTTTGGGACAGACAAAGAGTTAAAATTAATCTAGGCAATAAAGAGACAATAATACTATATAAAATCTCACCTTTTCTATGTAGTCCTCCTTTTTAATTCCATTCAAGAAATTTTTTTTAGTCTTATCTGATGGGTTTGCATTTTCAGAAGTTGTAGTACTTGCAAAATTTGTTGTTCGCAAAACTTTATTTAGAGAGTATAATGAACTTTTAGCCTTTGCAAGTGCCTTCTCTAATTTGATAGCTTCAAATCGTTTAGTTGCTATCTCATGTCTGATTTCTTTTAATTTTTGATAATTAGCAGAGCCTGGATCCCGTGTTGCCCTTCTCACTTTCCTGCCAAGATCCATTCACAACAGCTCAAGCTGTGAAATCTCTTTATGTAAAGGTGTTAGGATTTTAGTTAAGTCTTTGACCTGTAATGTACATTTTTCAGCTGTTGATTCCATTTTTGAAATTGACATCTCTGTATTTGGTGTGAACTTGGTGATGCTAACCTTGCCTTTCTTGCCTTTCAAAACTTGATTTGATAAATGCTTTGCCAGGCTTTGCCTTTCCTAGCAAGCGTATTGTCCATTTATTAATAAAAATCACCTTCCAAGCAAATTGAAGACTGTGGGAATCCATGAGCAATTGTATTTTGTTTGTGTTAAAAAATGCTTGAAAAATGGTAGGTTTATTCTTTCCCACTTCCCTATAAAAAATTTTTTTACGGAAAGTCCTACAAAATGTAAGGAACTGCGGGATGTGTAAGGAAAGTCCTACAA